TAAAAAAAGGCATGTAAAAATTGTGAAATCTGAATACAGTCTGTACCTGAGTTAATAATACTGCTGCAATGTCAATTTCCTGGTTTAACAATGTACTAAGGTTACATAATAGGGAGAAGTTTACCAGTACATGGGAATTCTCTGTATTGCTTTTGCAACTTCTTGTGAGTCTTAAAGTATTTTAAAATAAGACACTGTCTTTAAAATACAGTAGGAAAAAAAAAGAGGGGTGTGACCTCTGAAAGATGAGTTAAGGAAGGCTTTGTTTTATAGAGAGGGAACAACAAGTACCAAGTTTGTAGAAGGAAGCATAACAAGGCCATTGAATTTAAGCGTAGCTAAATTCAGAAACAAAGGGGAAGAGTAGAGGACGACAGTTTACAAATAAGAAAATCTGAATCTTCCTTCCTGGTTCTGACAGCATACAGAACGTCAAAGGTCATATTTAAGGCAACAAATGGGAAACAACTGAAGAGTTTTAAAGAGGGGGAGGGTAAAAAGGCATTATTAGTGATGTTTTGTCACATTCTAATCGTAGTGAAGAATGGAGCAGGGGAAGTGAAGAAGCTCTCTAGCCACTGTTGTAGTCTAGGAGTCGGTAATGGTAGCTTGGTGTAGGGTGGTGGTGGCAATAGAAATGGAGAAGAGTAGATAGATTTGAGGTGTATCATAGAGCATAAAATTGATGGAAAATGGTCATGACTTAAAAGACTGAACATGTCCATTAGATTGGTGACATGGAACTAAACTATTTCAAAGGAACAATGCAGGGGGTGAAGGGAATGCCAGACTGGAGCAATTTAAAGAATGGGAAAACAGACATGAGTTTAGACAAGTGAGGAAATTTGGCTGTAAAAAGAGAAAAATGGGTAGTGGCTGGAGTGGGACTGTGGAAATGAAGGAAGATGTTTTAAAAAGTGGTAGCAAACTGAGCATATTTTAGCGTTAATAGGAAGAATCTAGTTGAAATAAAAAAGAGAAGAGGTAATGAAGAAAAAAATAGTTTAAGGACAAATGTGAAGAAAAGACGAAGTTTTAGGAAGTCAGGAAGGGAGTGTGGCAAATTCATGAAGCTAAAGTATGGCTAAAGAATAAAAAATGAGGAAGACAGTGGTGGGAAATAGCTCAGAAAAGGGTAGGGCCAATTTCTTTTACTCTAAGAGGAAAAGAGGTGAATTTGGGCACAAGAATGTCATACTGGGTATGTTTTTATCTCATAACTTCTCTTTTTCTCTGTGAAACAGTAAGAGAGCCTTGTTAGTTAACTAGGGCTGCCTTAATAAAGTACACAGAGGACTGGGTGTCTTAAAACAACAGAAATTTATTTCATCACAGTTCTAAAGGCCAGAAGTCCAAGATCAAGGTGTCAGCAGGGTTGATTTCTTCTGAGGAAACTCTCCTTATCTTGTAGATGGACATCTTCTCTTCGTCTTCTCATGGTCCTTCCACTGTATGTCTGTGTCCTAATCTCTCCTTATAAAGATATCAATCATATTGAATTAGGGCTCACCAATATGACCTAATTTTACTTAATGACCACTTTAAAGACTCAATCTCCAAATAAATTCACATTCAGAGGCACCAGGGCTTAGAACTTCAAATATGAAATTTTGGGGAAGACACAATTCAGCCTATAAAAGAGGTTACTTGCCAAGAATGAGAAGAGAGATAGGATAAATTACAGGTTCAAAGTGAAAGAGGTTTGAAATAGTTCCAAATAGTTTGAAATACTTCTCACATTAACTATAAATGAAGTAACATCTTTAATGGGTAATTCTGTTTAAATTCAATTTAATTAAAAATGAAATTCTGACTTCATTATTCCATTAAAAAATTCTTTTACAAGCCAGAAAATCTGAATTCTAGTCCTTGCTCTGCTAACAAGCAATGTCCCTTAGATATATCTGGCTCTCATTTTTGTCAAGGAACAACCTATCAGAGACTAGACATATGCCTTAGAATATGCTAGAAGGAGCACTGACTTGGGAACGCCTGACATCCTGGTCCAATTACCTGCTCTGTCACAGAAGAGCTTAATTTCTCAGAACCTCACTTCCTCATCCTAAAATGCAGAACAACTAAATCTCTCTAAAGTCCCTCCTACACTCCTACTATAGTTCTTTGAATTTAAATGTTACTTTGAGGATAAAGGGATTATAGCATTAAAGAAAAAAAATTCTTCTAAATATGTGATAATAAAAATTGTATGCTTCCAACATATTGAAACATTGATTTTCCATTTCAACTTTTTCTACATCCTCCTCTGTTCCCAAGTCAATATTATCCTCATGATTAAAGACATTCTAAATATGCCTTTTTCTCACCTCTGTTGGCTTAAATACTAGGTGCTGAGTTGGAACAAGATACTACTTCTTTTGTTACATGTAATTATCTACTTAATTTTAAATCATTAAATTCTAAAATAGCATCCCTACCATGTCTAAGATAAGAGTTTTGCATCTTAAAAAAAAAAAGCTGAATGATGGATATATTAGTCAGAAACATATATGGCTAAAGTAACAAAAAATAAAAACAATGGCTTAACAATCAAGAGTTTATTTTTCTCATGTAGTTAGCGCAGAAGCTGGCAATTGCTCTTGTTGGTTCAAGTGTTCAGCCAATCAGGGACCCAGGCTCCCAGTAATCTTTCTACGGAACCATCTCTGAAATACAGCTTTAATTCTCATATTTGCTATTTCATGCTTGTAAGATGGCTATTATACCTCCAGGCTTGTTGTTGGCATTCATGGCCAGAAGAGGCAAAAAGCCTCAGCTCACAAAACTTTGACTTTTTAATTTGAAAGAAAGGCCCTTCCCCACAGCTTCTGTTCATTTCATTAGCCCTAATTAGGCCACATGCCCAGATTTTGGATATCTGCACTTTCAAATATGGCGGCCATGAATCACATGCAACTATTAAAATTAAAATTAAATAAAAAATTCCATTTCTCGGTTGTCCTGGCTACATTTCAAGTGCTTAATAGCCACATACAGCTAGTGGCTACCACATTAGGTAGCACAAATATGGAATATTTCCTTCAATGCAAAAAGTTCTGCCTTGGCATATCACGGACCATATGGAATGAAACTACTTCTCTTTCAGATCAATCATGATACTTCCCTTGGGGCTGAGAGTAAGGTCCAAACCTCGTGGAATAACAGGGATCTGTGCTCCTATCTGAACAATATAGGATACTGTTAACAAGGAAGGAGGTAAAAGCAGTTGGGTGGGCAATTGTCTGCCACAATGAGATTATCACTATATATAATTGAATTTTATAAATAATTGCACATTAACAATGTATTTAATAAATAAAAAATTCCTGGCAAGGAGGTATTAAAATTAGAAAAAATATAGTGAAACTAAAGGCTGACAGTTATAAGGGACACTAAATTACTTATTACAAAAATGTTGCTAAAGTAAACACTACTCTAGTGACTCATGGGAGGAGATTAAAGGGAAGAAAGGTAGTGGAATAATATGTGGGCACTATTTTCTTTATAGCAAACAAATCTGAAATGTCTGATTGTGTTGAAAATGGTCACTAAATTCATGGGCAAAAACAGTGTATCTTGTGATAACAATTATTAATTTATAAGAATAATCTTCATATGGGAAGAGTTATTTCACATCTGCCCATTACTCAGGGCAAAATAAAATGAAAAAAACTGCAAAATGAAAGAATTAGACTAGATGTGGAGAATAATTTACTAACAGAATAACTCAAAAGGTTAAAAAGCTGATACTGACAATAGTTTTCTTCCTTAAGACTTCCAGGTTGTCAATTCTTCCATGATCTCCAATTTGTGCAAATAAAGCAATAACAAGCATGCCGGAGTCTCTGTATTATGTTGGTAATTAATTAATTAAAATTTATATATGTATTTCTATATGTAATATATAAGTTATGTATATAAATTACAAACTAATATTAACAATATTTGCCCTGAATGAACAACTGCCTATTTTAAAAACTGATTTGTGTCTGAATAAAGTGGTTAACTCTCAAAGTTCTTTCTATTCTATTGCGAAACATGCAAAATACTGCTAAAGGTAGTGTAATGGTTGTTCACTATGAAAAGAGAAAAAAAGGAAGAAGAAATTCTAATTATTATTACTGAGGAGTAATGAGATATGAGAATTGTAAAAAATTTGCTTCTAAAGATAGTTTAGATATTCTTATTTTTCCCTAAAGTAAAAATAACTAAGCCACTGAAACCCCTTTATCCCTATTATCTATGCTCTCTAAAAATTATGCCTTTTACATAGAGTTGAAAGTTGGATAAATATTACTTTCATAAGGGTTAAATTTGAATATCATAACATACATGAACCTTAAACCATTTTATAGGTAAAAAAAATCTCAGTTATGTCCCATAGCAAAACAAAATTTTATAAAAAGATAGTGCTGAACTTTGGAGAATGATATATATTTTAATCAAGATTTATCAGAATAACATTACAGCATATAAAATAATAGCCCACTGGAATACAGAGCGAAACCCAACCTGACGCTATAAAAAGAATGAAAATAATTTGCCAGCATTTTGCTTCTGTCACCTATATATGCTATGTATTTCCTATCACAAATAAAAAGGAGTTAACTAGAAATCGAGTTCTAAAACAATATAGTCACTCACTATTTGACTATAACAAAAAGAATCTAGAATTTTCATATGCAAGTTTAATAAATCATCAGTTTATTTAACAAGGTTATTTCTATATCAGATTGTGGTTTAAAAGCAGTTATATATGTATGATATGGAAAGAATGATGTACAATCAGTAAGAATCTTGTCAAATCTCTCTTCCATCGGCTTTCCCCATCTTCCTGCTTAGCAGTAAATGGCATTTTTAGGTTTATATTATCACATTCTTTACAACTACCTTCTTAGCAGAAAATCAGTATATAAATAGCACTGGGCATCTAGTAAATAGGTCACAAACCAGTGAGCTCAATTTTACAGTTGTGAAATGTAATGTGAAAGAGTTTTTGAAACCTTAAGACTGGGTGATCTGCAGTGTTTCCAGCATGTCTTCGACTGCCTTGAGAGAGTATTTGGTTTCCTTCTTACTTCGACCTGCAAACTAATTTTTAGAAAATGCAATTAGGCTCAATTTCAGTGGCAGGTTCAAAATCACAGTCTTACTTTCAAATTGTTAGAGAGTTAACATTATCTATTTTATCACTAGCATGAAATCAGATATGTTCTTTTTCTTCAATAAAAAACAAAATTTGGGTTTTAAGGACATTTTCATTAAGGTTTCATCTTCAACTGACGTATATAAAAATTTCCATGTGAAATTGGCCAGTTTAAATGTTTAAGTAGTATGATAACCTATAAAAACATTAATATGATTTTCAAACTGTACTCCCTCTTCAGACCAGAAAAGCTTTATAAATAAAAAGCATAATTTAGAAATGAAATTTAGCTTATATTTATGTAGGAATGTGGACTATTTGTGTGGCCCTCTAATCAACTTTTTACAATTTCAAACAAAGGTAAAATACAAACGTAAAGAAGTGTTATCAAACATTTTAGAGTTGCAAGAATTCTCCAAAACTACTTAGAGTGGGCTGCAATTTTTAAAAATTTCCCAGATTTATTAGTTGACTAGATAATATCATGTTTCTGCACCAAAAACCTATCAAATAAAACTCTATGCTACATATTAAAGTAAACGTTTTGAAATATGCATTTTTAGTTTATTAAGTCATAATTTATTTTATAATACCAAATTGGGATTGGATTTTACAATAAAAACAAAACATAGTGCATTAAATACTATCTTTGTACATTTAAAAGCAAATTCATGTGTATTAAATTCAATATAGTGCATGATAAGTGGGGAAAACACTGTTGAATACCCCATGCTGATTTCAAAATGAGTTTTCTAACTAGACTGCCAATTCCCATCATTTATCAGTTTGACTTAACACTACAGATTTACTAGATAAGTATATATTCCTTGTTAAGGAAGGGGAAGGTTTATTATAACTATATTACCTGTTTTTCCCCTGGTTAAAGTATTAACATTTTCTATTAGCAACATACAGTATTTTCAAGTTAACATCTAAGCACTCAGTATACTTTCAAGTAACTGATCTTTCCTTCAAATATCAATGCTGTCTTAGGTACTTAGTACTTGATTTATGATGTGTTCCTTCTCTTTTGTAATTAACTTAATTTGGCAAACTTCTTGTGACCTGTTGAGAAAGATTAAGTGATCAAGCACAGGTAACATCGTAGAAGCAATAGGCTTCAGGAATTGGTAACCTGCCTCTGACCTCTCTGGCTGCAGCTTAACATTATGATTCTCCTATTTCCTAAACCATTAGCTTCTGTGGTTGAAGCTTGATTTGATAGAGTAACTAAAGGGGATTTCTAGAGGAAATGCCAGGGAAAGAGAAAAAGCTTCTTGTAAGAATCAAGATCACTTTGCCTTTCATAAGACATTATTAATTTAAGGAATTCAAATGCTGAATATACAGGCCGTAATTTAAAAATATGGCAATAGCAACACCACATTTAAAACTCTGCCCTTTCATAATTTCCCTTGGTGAGTAAAGGATGTGGAGTGTGCTTATTACTCCTATTACCCAGTTGATAGAGTCACTTTCACAAGGACTTACCAAGAACAGAAAGCCTTTTCTTTTACCACTGCCTACCCAAAGTAAACAGGAATTGTCCTAATCAGATACTTAAAGGTCTAATCCTAAGAAAAAGCTTTTGATGGGTTGGGGGAAGGGGTACAAAATAGGACACCTTATTTTTTAAATGGAAAATAAAAATGAAAAATTTGTGTAGCGCTGAAGTCATAGTATTTTAAAATATAGCATTTTTCTTGATTTGTATTTAAATGTAATAAAAGTAATAATAAATACAAATTTGTGATTTTTAAAATTAGCTAATTTTAGAAAACCACCTAAGATTGTGTATCAACACTACTGACAACCAGTGCAATTTAGAATAAACCAAACGAACTTGTGTCAGAACAAATAAAAAGAAAGTTGGAAATATAAATCTATCACTTCAAATTTTACCTGACATGCAATTATTTTGTCTATTCTAGAATTATATGGCAATTTAACTGATTAAGCCGGAATCCTATTTTTCCCTCAAATCATGATTTAATTTTCTATTTCCCAAAAGGATAGTAACAGAATCACCTCTGCAATCACAAATAACATATGGATCACTAGCACAGATGAATTTAACAGAGTACCAAAGAAGCATTTATCTGGAAAATTACTGTGAGTAGGTTCACATTAAAGTTTTTCGTGAGCATTAATCAAACTTGCCTGCCTCTACTGAACATGCTAAACCAATTACCTAACTGAAAAGCAAGTAGTAGCCATATTTTGTTTCATTAAGTAGAAACAAAGACAGAAAGCAGTTCTTAAAATCTCATTTTCTCTAATTTTTAAATGCCTAGAAAAACATTACAATGAGGAATACTTACTATACACTTTATACTTGTTTATATGCCTAGACATATTAAGTTCTCAATTAGATCCCAGAGATTTATTACTAAAATGTCAGTCTCTGAAAATTATACTTTTCCACATTAATCACAAATTCTGCATTTTTATTTTTCACACAGATTTTGCTTAAGTAAACTTTTTTCATAATTTCCTGATGGATCTTAAAGAAAACTAACCAGAAAACCACTCAAATAATAAAAAATTGCTTATCAAATTCAAAGGTCAATGATTTACCCATTGTGATAACTGGAGTAAGTTGGGTTAAAATTCACAAATTTACAGTTTGTGGAAAATAATATGGGTGGACAAAGTAATAAGATAAATAAAATGGAGAAGTGGATTGATGAATCTCAGAAACATGCTGAGTGAAAGAAGCAATGCACAAAAGGGTACATAATCTACGATCTCATTTATATATAAAGTTCTAGTACAGGCAAAACTAATTTATAGTGATGAAAATCAAATCAGTGCTAGTCTGCAGTGTGGAATGGGGCTGACTACAAAGTGGCAGAGGTGACCTTTCTGGGCTGATGGAAACTGTATGTCTTGAATGGGATAGTGGTGAGAGAGGAGTATACATTTGTCAAAACTCAACTATACACTTAAAATGTGTGCATGTTATTGTATGTAAACTATACCTCAATAAAGTGGATAAAAAGAAAAATAAACAAAAACAGAAGGATGGAACTATGGAGTTATACAAAAGTGTAATAAACTGCCAAATGACCACATATTTCTCTTCCGATTGAGAGGTGAAATATTATATCCCCTGTATCTGGGTTCACCATGTGACTTGTTTTGCTCAATGGAATATTAGCCATATGTGACACAACCAGAGGCTCTGGAGTTTGCCTGTTTGCTGCTCCTGGAACCCTGAAACCATCATGTGAATAAGTCCAAGTTAGCTTGCCAAATGGGAAATACAAGGCCCAGCACCCCCAGCTGACAGAGAGCCAACCATCAGACATTTAAGTGAGGCCATCAACCACTAGCATAGAGTAGAAAAGAAAGTAAGTCCACTATAGACCTGTAGAATTACTCAACTGAGCACAAGCCTACATGATACCTACAGATTCATAAGCAAATAAGTCGTTATTTTAAACCACTATGTTAGCAAAAGGCAATAGATACAAGTATTTATGAAATCTGATTCACATGAAGAAAATCACCAACTTCTGTAGAAAAAGAATAGCGATGAAAATTTCAAAAGCAACAAAAGATTTTATTTAAAACCTGTTACGGGGACTTCCCTAGTGGTCCAGTGGTTAAGACTCTGCGCTTCTATTGCAGGTGGCACAGGTTCGATCCCTGGTTAGGGAACTAAGATCCTGCATGCCACGCAGCGCAGCCAAACAAAACCAAAAATAAACAAAAAAAATGTTACTAGTGTCTAGAGGCAAAAATAAATTTTGCATGATGGGTGATTCCTAATTGAGAGGTATTTTAGGCTGCTATACAGAAACCTGACATTATCAACTGAGAGATGTTATCTTTTTGGAGTGGTATCCAAGATGACAGAAACTTACAAAAATTCCTTATACTATCCTTTCCCTTAGAGTCAAGAAAAGGCAAATCATACCTTCAGGAAAGATGTGTAAAACATCACTGGGTACTATGGAGTTTATGGTGCCAAAGTCAAAGACTGAAGAGCACAGATGATATTCTCAGAGCTCTTTCCAAAAACACTGAGACTTTACAAAATAAGTCTATGAAAAGAGAATGGATCTAATAAGACAATTTAAAAAAATTTGTTTAAAGAGAATGGCAGGGAGGGAAAATATTACTAACGAATAGGGTTTGGATATATGAACAATGACTTAAAATATCGAAATGATGGATTCATGTCTAATGGTAAAGTGCATCTCATATGGCAGGGAAGGGCATGCTTGCCTGGTCTTGCATTACTGAAGAGACAGTGAAAACGAGGAAAAACAAACAAACAAACAAAATGAAACTCTAAATTTAGTTACTACGGAGAGCTTTGGGTCTGAAATGAAAAGGGAAACAAGTGAGGGTAGGATATCACTTGTTCACATGAGAAAATAACTAAGAAGGGAGTTGGAAACTATAATTACAGTTTTAGAACCATTTATACCTGACATCTCTTTATAAAGGCAGTATATTGTGGCCATTAAGAGCATCAAACTTGGAGTCAGGCTGCCTAGGTTTGAAAATCGCTCCTGTTAATAACCAGTTATATCACCTTGGAGAAAGTTATTTAATCTTTCATGCCTTAATTTCCTCATTTGTAAAACAGGAAAAGTACCTACCTTATAATAAATTTTGTTTGCTATTATAACTGTTATTGTTGTTACTGCTATTGTAATTGCAATAAAAATAGCAGACATAATAAAGTGAACTTACAGCATGCAATTAGTAAACACAATATAAGGTATATTACTGTGATATGGTAAAAAGTATGTATCAACTCCTTTAACACTCAGAAAACTTTTATTATGTCCATCTTGCAAATGAAAAGCTAGGCCCAGAGATGGTATGTAATTTGTCCATGGCCACATGTCAGAGCCAAACTTGGAAGCCAGACAATACAGCTCGCGCATCTGTGTTCTCTCTCAACTATTATAAGGTAGCAGCTTCCACAGAATGGGACTCATGACAGAATACAGAGATAGAAACACTGGAAAGCTATGCAGGGGGGGAACAGACCTCTATTTTCACATAATACATAAAAATCAGTTCCAAATGGATTGTGGATCTAAATGTGAAAAGTAGAAGAAAAAAAACTCCAAAGACACACAAGATTATCTTTATGACCATCAGTAACAAATGATTTCTTAAGCAGAACATAAAAGACAAACCATAAAGGAAATGAACGATTAGGGTGAAGATAATCTTCAAAACTTTCTTCATCAAAATCATTTGAGAGTGATTGCAACTAAGGAGTTAAAAAGATCTGCTACACATATAATGAACAAAGGGCCCATAATCAAAAAACTAAAAAACAAAATAAAAAGTCATAAACCAATGAAAAACATAGACTTCATGAAAGAAGATATCCAAACAGCCAATAAACATGAAAAAGTGTTCAACCTCACTGGTCATCAGGGAGATACAAAACAAAACCATGAAGATACCACTACACATACACCAGAATGACTATAATTACAAAAACTGACAGAAGGATGTGTTGGTGAAAATGTGGAACTATGAGAACATCGCTCAAACACTGCTGGTGGGACTATAAACAAGTAATGTGGAAAACCAGCTTTATCTACTTCAGTTAGATATATATACATCCTATGACACAGTATTTCCACTCAAAGGTATACACCCCTAAGAAGTACATGTACATATACACCAAGAGACTTGTACAGCAATATCAGTGTAGTATTATTCATAATAGCCCCAACAGGAAATAATCCAAACGCCTATCAACAACCGAATAAACGGGCTTCCCTGGTGGCACAGTGGCTGAGAATCCGCCTGCCAATGCAGGGGACACAGGTTCGAGCCCCGGTCCAGGAAGATCCCACATGCCGCGGAGCAACTAAGCCCATGTGCCACAACTACTGAGCCTGTGCTCTAAAGCCCGTGAGCCACAACTACTGAGCCTGCGTGCTGCAACTACTGAAGCCTGTGTGCCTGGAGCCCGTGCTCCGCAACAAGAAAAGCCACCACAATGAGAAGCCCGCACACTGCAAAGAAGAGTAGCCCCCGCTTGCCACAATTAGAGAAAGCCCGTGAGCAGCGACGAAGATGCAACACAGCCAAATATAAATAAGTAAATAAAATAAATTTTTTAAAAAACTGAATAAATTATAGTATGTTCATATAATAGACTACAGTACAATGAAAATGAATGAACTACAAACTTAAAAAAAGATAAAACTCATAAATCATGCAATAGGCCAGACAAAAATAAATACATACTGTATGATTCTATAAATTTCAAAAAAAAAGCCAGAACTATGGGATTATAAATTTGTACTTTTGAGGGGAATACAAGGAGTAGAATTTGAAAGAAGGTACCAGGAAGGTTTCGGGGTGCTGTAATGTTTCTATTTATTGACCTGGATACATTTACTTGTATAATTCACTGGAATGTATCTTTGTGACTTGGGTTCATTTTTCCATGTATGTTATAATTTAATAAAAATTGATTTTAGAAATATAGTCATGCCAGGTCAAAAAAAGCACTCTCTGAGCAGCTAGTTGTTTTTCAAAAATATCTTAAAAACAATGATGTAGTTTGCACACTATTATTTTCATATTATCCAAGTCTTATTTATTTATTTATTTATTTTGCGGTACGTGGGCTTCTCACTGTTGTGGCCTCTCCCGTTGCGGAGCACAGGCTCCGGACGCGCAGGCTCAGCGGCCATGGCTCACAGGCCCAGCTGCTCTGCAGCATGTGGGATCTTGCCGGACCGGGGCACGAACTCATGTCCCCTGCATCGGCAGGCGGACTCTCAACCACTGCGTAACCAGGGAAGCCCCCAAGTCTTATTTTTATTTTATTTTATTTTTTTCCCCAAGTCTTATTTTTAAATCACAAACTATCCGTCCCTCCCTCGCAACCCCCAACCCCCAAGCCTACTCTGTGTGGAACCCCTCGAGCCCTCTCAAACTCCATTTGAAGAAGCATAGCTTAGCTAATATTTATAGATATTCTGACTTGCAATATGCCAACAGAACCAACATTCTCTATTATATATAATAAAACTACACAAAAGTGACTAAATGGTGTGATCACAGGGCACTGAATTGTTTTAATCTCCCCCACCAGGAGTACAAAAACAAAGAAATAAACAGCACCAAAACCAAGACCAAAATAAGAGGAAACAAACCCAACAAAGACATCTTTCAAAAAAAACTATATTGCAGGCAATCCTTCAAAACCCTAGAAGGTTGTTATACCACCAACAGTAGCAGGACCTACAAAAGCTCAACAGATATGTGGTAGGCACTACAGGATGTAAAAGAGGACAACCTACTACTCTATAAGCCACCGAAGTAAAAAAAAGTATGAACTGATGCAATGGCTTGCAAAACTAGGACAGTCTCATAGGCTCCAAATCAAAGTATAAAAAACTGCATGCAGGACTTCCCTGGTGGCGCAGTGGTTGAGAATCTGCCTGTTAATGCAGGGGACATGGGTTCGAGCCCTGGTCTGGGAGGATCCCACATGCCACGGAGCAACTAAGCCCGTGAGCCACAACTACTGAGCCTGCGCATCTGGAACCTGTGCTCCGCAACAGGAGAGGCCACGATAGTGAGAGGCCCCGCGCACCGCAATGAAGAGTGACCCTCGCTTGCCACAACTAGAGAAAGCCCACGCACAGAAACAAAGACACAACACAGCAAAAATAAATAAATAAAATAAATTAATAAACTCCTACCCCCAACATCTTCAAAAAAAAAAACTGCATGCAAACGTGACCTTAAACAAATCTAATAGTCTAAGACCTCAAAATCTCTGATTTATCCAGCAAACACCCTCTTCCAAAAGGAAAAAAACCTCAAACTGAAAGAAAACTACAGAAACTGAAACCAAATTTAACAGGGCAGAAACACTGGGGTTAAGAGGGAGAGATGGTTCAGATAAGGGGAGAAGGGGAGGGTGGGAGGTAGTGATGCCCAGAGGCAGAAAATCCCAGAAGAAAAAACAACAACAACAAAATGTAACATTTAAAACTGAGAACACCACCTCAAAATCCAAGATCTGTAGACCAGTAGGGGTAGAACACAGGGAGGCCTGCAGCCAGAAAAATCATTCTGAACCTGACCTAGTTCTAAGAAAGACTAGATATATAGAGAGGTCATATTTGAGTTCTCTGTAACAAAGAAGAGGAAACATATAAATTACCAGAAAAAAAAGAAGAGAATAAAATACAGAAAATGACAGATGGATTTGAAAAAATAATGAATGATAAAAGGAAGTGTGAAAGGAGATCCAAAAAACTTATAGTTGGAGACCTGAAAAAGAAAACTTAAGGAATCAAGCAAAAAAAATTCAAAATCATAATTCTAAAAGCAACTTTCCTCAAATTAAAAGAGGACTGAATCCAAATATTAAAAAGGTCTATAGTGTATTTGGGAAGACCGACCCAAGAATATCAACAAAACATTATCATAGTGAAACTACTGGATTTTAAAGATAAAGAAAAAAATTCCTTTGGGCAACCTGACAAAAAGTGCAAGTCACTTATTAGAGAAAGAAAATCAGGATGGCATGAAACTTGTTGACAGCAATATTTTATCCTAAAAAAAAAGGAACAATATGCTTAATACTTAGGTAAATGTATTTAATAGCAAAGGATGTATAAAAAGTCAAATTGTCCTTCAAATATAAAGACTATAGATAGATAAGTTACAAACATGAAAGATGTAAGAAGATGAGTTTTTCCATGAGTCTTTCCTGAAGAATCTCCTAGGGATGAGCTTCAGTAAACTAAAAAATGAGGGGAGATGTTTCAGATAAGATCTGACTGTAAACAGAGTACATAAACTTTGTTATATAGTCTTGTTAGTTTACTTTTAGGATTTTCTTCCTCTTTTTTTTATTATTTGAGATATCTCTGATTAATAATACACTCACATACCCAATCTGCCTCTGAAATACATCATGAAATTTATCCTTTCTGGATTTTTACAATTACTTTTTTTTATTTGCCAAATGTAGAACTACTGAGATGATAAGGCTCATTATGGGATCATAACAGTAACAGACTCCTGTTACTATTTTACTAGTAAAACTACTATTTTACTAAAGTAAAAAACATTTGATAAAGACCCAAAAGCACAAAAGTTCAATGATAGACATCTAGCTTTGTAGTCTGTAGAAACATAAACAACAACTAAGAAATACATTAACTGACCTTTGTCATAATATAAAATTATCGATACTAACCTGATAAGCTCTGTTTATTTGACTAGCTGCCCAACTAGCATATTTCATGTTGTCCTTTTTTGTTTTTGCACTTGCTTTTGGATTAGAAGCAATATGACTTGCAGACTAAGAACAAAAAAGAAACATCAAAAACAATACTCCTTTGATGTAGCCAAGACAATCAAAAACATGTAAGGGTCATAATTGCAATGGGCTGATAATAAAGAGTTTTTCAAAACTGTATCAACACAATTTTTAAAATAAAATAAAGCTGAATGAAATTAGTGAAATGAAATGAAAATATATTTTAAAATGGAGAATAATCCAAGGTAGTAGGAAGAGAAAGGATACCTTAAATAATATCTAAAATTAATTTATTACCTGTCTACCACAGCCCTTGAAGGTAAAATTCCATCATCACTTAAATACTGTAGGATATTACTGGTGCTATTTCTTATTACTGAATTACTTCAACTTTTCTATGTCAGAATTATAGAATTACTGAATATTAATATAAGGAACCTCAAAAATAATTTAGTCTAACTTCCTACATTAACAGGTGAAAAAAAAATTAAGTCCAATAGGAGTGAACTGACTTAACCAAAGTAAGTTAACGAAAGTCTTACAAGTAGAAAGAGATCATCACTTCCAACCTATTTCTCTTTTCACTACACTGAGAGTTTCCAAACTATGTTCCAAAGAACCAATTAGAGCCATCATCTCCTTTTTAAAGATGTATTTAAACAAGGGATTGTTAAACTGGGATCCATGCAAGAATCTGTAGACCCTCAAAATCATATTCTTATTTTTAATTGTATGTATTTCTGGGGAGAGAAAGATACAAATTTTATCTTATGCTTAAATAAATCTTAAGAAGCTCTGTCCATGTGGTTTCTTCAATGCCTAGCCCGTGTTATATGCTTTTTCTTTCTGTCTCCATCTCTGCCACTAAGGAATTTATATGCCAAAATCTGATTGCAGTAGTTAAGAGAATGATTCTGGAGTCAACTGCCTGAGCATCATTTAGCAGCTCTCTGTCCATCCTTGGGCAAATTAATCAGGACTCTCTGTGCCTTGGTTTCATTTTCTGTAAAATGGTAGTAGTAATAGTACCTTCTCAAATAGTTGATATAAAGATAGAATGATTTAAAATAAAAAAGAGAGCTCATAACAACACCTGACACATAAAGTGCTATGTATTTTTACTATTATTAATAATTTATTTATTTTAAAAAATAGTATTTATTTGGTAAAAGAGACACTGCTACCATACTGTACCTACAAGCTGTTACAACTGGCACTAGTACAATCCAGAAAAAATTTTTTGAAATCCCTTTAATCTGTTTTCTAATTATATTTTGCCATTTCTTTGCTAAAAATTATTTCATTTACGTTTCTTCCTGCCTCCATTTCTGCAATCAATCCTTTTCACTGAGCTCCAACAAAATATTCATCCTAAAGTCCATGAAAAGACTAGGATAAACTAAAATTTCAAAGGACTGGCCTATTAAAGAAGTTTATTTTTCTAGTCATTCTGACTGTAGAAAGGAGCTCATTTTATATAAATTTGAAGTTCATTAAATTCTGCCTCTATTTCCCATAGCTCTTGTTAACTGGCTTTTTCTAAGCTCATCATTTAGCATACATAAACAAAAGAAATATTTAATTACATGCGTACCACAAACTGTTTTTCTATCATAAAAAAAGTTTTAGTTTGGCATGAGAGATTTTATTTCTAATATGTCTTTTATAAACATAGTTTAAAAATATCTCATACAATTATAATTTAAGGTAAGAAATAAAATGTTGGGCATGAACAATAACAAAACAATTAAGAAATACAACGGGCTTCCCTGGTGGCGCAGTGGTTGAATGTCCGCCTGCTGATGCAGGGCACAGTGGTTCGTGTCCCGGTCCGGGAAGATCCCACGTGCCGCGGAGCGGCTGGGCCCCTGAGCCATGGCCACTGAGCTTGCGCGTCCGGAGCCTGTGCTCCGCAACGGGAGAGGCCACAACAGTGAGAGGCCCACATACCGCAAACAAAAAAAAAAAAAAAAAAAAAAGAAATACATAATATATACTATTTAATTGCATAAAGGCAGATTTAAATTCTGATATAGTAAAAGATAGTAAAAGATAATTGACAATAAAATGTCAAATAGCTGGGATATATTAACATTTAAAAATATAACTGCCTTACAACCTATTGCTCATAATTAACTAGAGGAAAAAAATCATATGCTTATCAATGAAATACAAAAAAAAAAAAAAGAGGGAAGTGATTAACTGGGACAGTTAATGGACTTTAAATGACATTTCATAAAATAACATTAAACATGCACCTCAACTCACCATGTAAAGTCCAAACAAAGCTCTCATATTTCTGTTGTTCAGTTTCAATGCCTGTGCAAAATACTTTCTTGAAAGTTCAAGATTTTCAAGTCCACCTTGGGTATATTTAACCTGTTAAAAATTACGGAGTGCTGAAACCTGTTTATTTTACTACTTTGAAATATAGCATGTTTCATCATACCATAGGCATTAGTAATTGAAACAGATATTCTGTAAACAAATGCAAGATGTTAAAAGAATTCATCTTAAAGTTGTTAAAGCTAATCTAAACTTTAAAGCATAACCTACCCTCCAGAATCATTATATTCTATGAACATTAAGATCACTGAGCTTTTAAAATAAAAAAATGCTGCCAATATAAAAAAGGCAGTATAATTTCTATTTCAACTGCCTTCCAAATGCTTCACAACTTTATTTTCTATTACTAGTATTATAAATCTAGACTTCATACTGAATTGCCCTTTCCTAGTTGCACTGACATTCCTTAATGATGGAGTCCTTTTAACCTTAGAGAATTCAATTGTATTGCTATTCTTAACAGTTAATCAAATAAGATAAATACTTCCTACTTTCCAAAATACTGACCTTCATATGAATTTCCTAGAATATGGATGTAAAAACTGTAATCACTGTAAATGCCTTAAAGGCCATTAAATGGTGATAACTATGACATAATTCATAATTAGGAAAGAATACAGTATGCAATTAGAAAAATACAAAGAATTTCACTATTTTAAATAAGTGTATTTAACTGAAAAGTCAGTATTTCCATTATAGTATTAAAAATTTTACTCCCATAAATCAATTTTCATCACATCTTACATATTTATATACTTGCCTAACATTAACGACATATTCTTAGTTCCATAATAATACCCACACCAACAAAAATAAAATCACATACAACTGTTGTTTTTGAAAACACTTACTTCAGCATACTGCTGACAGTATAAGTGGTTGTGTGGATTAGTCATCATAAGCTCCTCTAAACAAAAGGCTGCTTTAGCATAGCTGAAAAACATCAAGGAGTTAATTTTAGAAGTCATAAATTTTATGTCAGTTACACCTTAAAATAATTTAAAAACAATTTTAGTGATATTACACATTTTATTCCCAAAATACTTTAAATATCTTTATTAATAAAGTACCTATCTTGAATTCATAAATACGAATATCATATTTTTTAATGAAATGAATACACAGAAGCTTAAATCCTAAAGCAGCCTGTGAACTATCAAGAGGTATTACATTTTTCTTTTTTTATTATTTTTTTATGTATGTATGGCTGCGTTGGGTCTTCATTGCAGTGCGCGGGGCTTTCTCTATTTGCACCAAGCAAGGGTTACACAGTGCGCAGGCTTCTCATTGCCGTGGCTTCTCTTGTTGCAGAGCATGGGCTCTAGGCGCGCAGGCTTCAGCAGCTGTGCCACATGGCCTCAGTAGTTGTGGCTTGCGGGCTCTAGAGCACAGGCTCAGTAGTTGTGGCGCACAGGCTTAGTTGCTCCACGGCATGTGGGATCTTCCCGGTCCAGGGCTCGAACCTGTGTCCCCTGCATTGGCAGGCAGATTCTTAACCACTGTGCCACCAGGGAAGTCCCAAGATATTAAATTTTTAAAACTGGGTCACTAGGATGACATCCAAACATAATTAACAACACAGGCTTCAAGATCTTGGATCAGGTTACATATAAAATAGGTTCTATAAGTCCACTGATCATTTAATAAAATATTCAAATAGCTAAAGTGTAATGAGGAAATAAACACTAAATATTCTCTATTCACTAAAAATCCTTTACAGACATATCCCACATATTCTATTACAAAGACTTTTCATTATTTAAGGTTACTGTCAAATACAAAGTTATTAAGTTACGAATTTCTAAACCCATGAAAAACAGATCAAGTTAGTGGTTTTGATATGCACTCTACTACTATTTAATCATGTGGTAGAGAAACAAAATCTTTACTGAAAACCTAAGGAGAAAACTGCTGCAAAGGGCTCTGGAAAAATAGTTTTATACCACATGACTATAATTCTCCTTAATGTATTTTATATATTTAAGCCCTGTGAATATCCTTCCTATTTACAGGAAATCCTAAAGAACACAGGTCTTGTAAGATTTAGTCCCAGTGAGGAGGTTATGACATTACAACAGAAAAAGGCTACCTACAGTTATTTTTGACATCTGTCACCAATATACAAAGGTATCTATTTTACACTAATGTCTGATATACTTAGTTTTCAAAATATATACGTTGCAGTTTCAAACATGTGAAATACTAATAATAGCTAAATTTTATTAGGTACTCATTATGTATCATGCACTTCCCTAGGTGTGTTACAAATATTAATTCATTTAATCCCACCAAAACCCTAGGAAGTAGGCAGACAGCCTACACTCTTAACCACAATGCATACTACCTATATACACTACACATCAGGATGAAAAATCGAGATGGCAATGGTAGTGATGAATATTTCAACGGTAACATAAAAACAGGTACAGCAATCAAACCCAAAGGGCCAAAGGAACCAAAAACACCCTGCAGATTAGCCCCAAATCACAGCATTTTAAACTTATGAAGGACCTTATATATAATTCTCATCAAAGATCATGCTGCTATTTAGCCCTTTTCATATTTATGCCCAAAACCTAGTATTGGTTCTTGACATATGATAGCTATATAATGAATGACTGAACAAATGACAATAAATGTGTAGAACAAAAGTATTGTGACTACCTATCTGATATTTATTCATCATTGTGTAGAAGGGGAAGTCGTCTCTACCTTAAACACCAGCTTCATCAGAAAGATAGTTCCCTTCTAAATGTGTTCCTTTACGGTAACGCCAAAAATTCATATTAATGCTAAGAATAAATGTTCTTAGAGATTTAAATGGGTTGAGCAAAACAGTGGCTCTGATTCTTATATAGCATAATGTAAGATAAAATGGGCAGAGAGGAGTTTCTAATGAAAAATGAATGCCAAGATATTTTTCTCAAAAATTATTTAGTATCACATACGAGGGGATACCTTCCCCCAATTTTACAAAATATAAAATCAAATTAATTTTGTGGATAAAGTATAGAATCAAATAAACTTAGAGCTGGAAGGAGTGAGAAATGGTCTAATCCAGTTTTTCTCAGCCAGGGGTACACAAGAGTATTAAGCCATACAAAAGTGATTTGAGTGATGACTATTTTCTCAGTTCTCCCAAGATGGTACATAGCCAATACCAATGCAGATATATAAAGAAATTAATTCATTATATACAACTCATGAGACTAAGATTTAGAGAAGTCAAAATAATTGGAATCCGTTTAAAATAGAATAACCACTATTATTACTACATTAGAGTCAGTAACTAAAGCTTTTGAAGTTCTTCTGTTCCTCACAAAAGCATATGTATAGGTTACAATATTTGTTCCTTGACTGCTTTATCAACATTGTGATTTTTCCTTACAGGATTCTGATAATTCCCTTTGTTATAGAATTTTATAGTAAGGCTGTACCTACAATAATCACAATCATAATCAATCTTTACTAACTGCTCCCTGCTGATATAACATCTACTTTTAACTACAAATCAAGTAAAAAAAAAATTCAGTATCTTTGTTTAAAATACATATTTTTGTTTATAATATGTACTGTGGAGTTAAGGTATAAATCATGACTAATTTTTTATACTTAGAGAAAGTGTCTCAATGTGATCAACTAGTGTGACATATACCACTAGAATAACTGTATCTAGAATTTATAAATCAGAAGCAAATTTAAATAAAAATAACTTAAAGACATAAAAAAAGTATGTGGCAGAATTCCATATCCCCTTTTCTCTCTATAAAATCACTGAATAGACTTATATGAACAGTCTACTGTGGAAATTTATTTGGAGTAAAAAAGTCTACATCTAGATTCGCAATGCTGCCTGTGACTTACTATAACTATTAATATGAAGAAAAGAATGTCAAAATATTAAATATATCAAGCAATTCCTAAATTGGTACATTTTTGCCACCAGGTCCACAAAACTGTGGTAAACTGACATTCCACAGTAACTTACTACTTGTACCAACAATACCCTACCAAAGACAATGACTTGCTCAAACAAGTTAAATGAATTAAGTGAACATTCTGATTTTCATACAGTTTCAAAAAATCTGAAGACATTTATTTCCACTCACCGTAAATCTGAATATCCCTTCTAAGTGTTCAATTAGAAAAAATAAACAGACATTGTGTAAGTAACTAGCTTCAAGACCAAAAAGAGTTTTGTAATACAAGATAAAAGGGTAGGCAGAATGTAAGTATCATTTCCCATGAAAAGAAACTATTTTTCAGGTGCTTTTCTGTCTTTGTATCTCTTGATTTCTTGTGATTCTTCAGTTCATTTCTCTTAAATGTACATCCAACTCTATCTCAATAAACTCTTTAGAGACGCAAAACAAAGCAAAACTGAATGTGGCTATTACAAGGTGAGGCAAATAATAAATTTAATGATAGGTTAAAAATAAAGTATAACCTATTTGAGAACTAAATATAGAAATATTACAAATACATGTAAAAAGGTAAAATTGATAAAGAAGTAGAAGAACAAAACAGAGGTGATATATTTATATAGTTCTTAGAGGACAGAAAACCTGAAAGCAATATAAATTGATATATCTGACCATCTAAAAATATAAAGTTTCTATAAGTTAAAAAAATCAATATTAAAAACACATAATAAGGATATATTCTTGACAGGACAAAGGCTCATATCATTTACATAAAGAGCTCTTAAAAAACGTTTAACCAATTTTCACTTATCAAAATTTGCAAAGATTAGAAAGAACAGTAGCACCCGGTGTTGTTAAGTGGACATTCTAATAATTGCTGATGTGAGAGTAAATTGACACTACCTTTCTAGTGCACATCTAGGTATGATTTATCAAAACCACTGAAAATGTGCATATCGTTTAATCAAGTAATTCTACTTCTAAGAATTTAGCCCAAGGAAAAATTTAAATAAAGATAATCATTATATGTATGTGTAACTGAATCACTTTGCTGTATACCTAAAACTAACACAACATTGTAAATCAACTATACTTCAATAAAAACAAAAACAAAACCCTAAAAAACAAACAAACAAAACAATCCTGAGCCTCCAGTCTATGAATTTGGTATTATTTAGGTGTTCTTTAATTTCATTAATTAATATTTTATAGTTTCCAGCATACAAATAATTTACATTTAAAAAAAATACTTTATAAATGTTGACTTTAAAACAATGAAAAATAGAAACATTACCATTTAACCAAATACACTACCACTCTTACATACGTAAGAGAAAGCTAAGTATATTTACAAATATGATCATACAAGCATCCAAACATGGTTCAGGAAATAACTTCCTAACAAAAAACAAAGAGAATCTGATAGCCAGCATATATAATAGAGGAATGAAAAATGGTTCCCAGAATACAGTACACATTCATTAAGTGACATTTTATTTTCGCCGCCACTTTTATTAGAATTACACAGATAATACATTAACTCTTTCACATACATATATACCCCTGAGAAAAGGCAAGAGACAAGTATCTTCCATTCGATATTATTTCCTATGTCAGCTATTTGTACTATGAGGATGAGGTTAAGTATTCTAAGTATTCGTGCACAGTAAGAATATATGCATGAGAATCTGATTCTGTTCTCTGAAAAGGAAGGAAAGAAACAATGTGATATACTTCAGACTCCTCACTAAGAAAAAAGGGGAAAAAAAGCCTGCCTCTAGATAGAGGTTAGCGTTAATGCTGTGATATTAGAAAACTTGCACTAAGACTGGGCTAATCCTCTCACACTGGGATTTCCTCCTGTCACTGCAATAAAAAAAAGCTAACAAAAACATTAAATATCCAATAAGCAAGTTCCTACAGCATTCAACATTCTTGATTATTCTTGGTTTTTTACCCAGGCAACAGAATGCTTCTACTTTGGAAGAGTTGATTCTCTTAGCACTAAGGCTAATAAATGCATACAATTGACAGAATTTTTAAACAGCAGGGAGTATAATACTCTTTGTATGTAAGAACAATTTAAATTCTAAAAATTCACAATTTTGATTCACTAAAAATAACCTTAGCTCAGCACATACATGCCTTTCTAACTCCAAAGAATGCCATCTGTATTTGAAAGAAAACTCATTTCCCAAACAAAAATAATTTAGCAAACACAAATGACCTACTTAAAGCAATTCACATATTATAACCAACAAACTGTCGATTTGTTTTTCTTCATTTATTCATTTTGCTAATTTAAAATGACGTGATTCATACCTCTCACCAATCCTTTAGAAACTACTATGCCTTCTGAACTTATATAGTGATGAAAACTGCACTCCTTAACGAAATTTTATGTGTTAACGACTTACTCATGTTCATTGATATAAAGTTCTGCAAGTTCATGCCAGGCTTCTTGGTCTCCAACAAATCTGGTGAGAGGAAAGGGAAAAAAAGTAAGTGTGTAGATATTCTATAAATGAACAGCATGGAGGCAAAAAGGAGAATCAAATGCAAATTCCATTTTAATTAAAAAAGATTTATCAGAATAACAAAACACAATCCTCTTGTAAGACACTCACTGTTCCAGATACTCATTCAGTTCCCGAATGGCCTCCACATTTTTCCCCTGGGCTTTTCGAATGGCAATCTTACGCTTTCTTGCAGCCTGTGGGTTGACATTAATAAAGGATTAGACCCTCATGATTCCCTGGGTTTTTGTAAAGAGGTAATTTGACTGTGCAAATTATTATCTCAATGCCAGTGAAATTCCATTGTAAAACTACTGCTTAGTGGGAGTTTATAAACATACCCCATGACATCCCACTGGGGAGTTCAAACATTCCTCTAACAATCACATGTGCTTTACTTTTGATGTACACAATGTATGCATCATTTCATTCAAATAAATAACCATCCAGATTCTGATAATTACAAGCCAGCAGGGAATCCTAATCTTTATCCAGCATAAAGTCCTTTACTCTGTCTCATTCATAAGATCTGTATCTTAAGAGATAGAGGGATAGTGGAGATTAGAAAATAATCTTACTGTGGCCACTTGAATGTCATTATACAAATATGGCTTCAAATAACTTTTTTCACAATTTCAAGAGAAAAATCTACCTAAGAGTCTTTCAAAACAATAATATAGGTGCTGAAAGAAATATTTTATAATAGACAAAACATTTAAAACCTGCAACTTAAAGCTTTTTAAATATATAAAAATCAATGCCATTTATTTATACATTCATCAAATATGTAACAAACATCTGTTGTTTGCCAGGTACTGCGCTGGACAATAAAAATATAAGGATAAAAAAAGGAACAGATAATTCCTTGCAGGAGCTCAGTCTGATAAGAGAAAGAGACATCAAATAAAAAGACAATAATAGAGATATCTAAGATGTTGTGGCAACACAGAGGTGATCCTAACAAGGCTGTAGCAGATGGGAGGAAGTGGAAACACAGGAAGCAAAGAGCGTCCCAGATGTGATACCTGGGTTGAAAGAGAAAGTGCAAGTAGACATTAAGAAAGCAGAAAAGAAAGTTGTGTGGAGGGACGATACTGCATAGTAGGAGAACACAGGAGCAAAGGCAGAGGAGACAGCAGCATTGTGTATAATCAAGACTATATGTTTGGGGCTGAAGTGACTGGAGGGCTCTGTGTGAATTACTAAATTTACATCCCCTCCATCTCTGTTTAATTCAATGCAGAAGACTAAACAATAAAACACTATAATTAGGGCTAGGTTAGGCTTATTAATTATGAACATGATTGTCATTGTTTTATGTAAAACACACTCCACAAGATACAGACAAGGGAAGTACTGTAAAATGAATGGGGCCTCTTTAGACCAAAGGAGCTATCTGTCCTGGGGTGGAAAAGGTGGGTTTTTGCTCTGAAAAACTGAAAGTCAAAATATCAGAGTGAATCAAGAGACTCCCAATAAATATGAAAAAGCAATATTTATAATAATAGTGATAACAATATTTCAGTAATGAAAGAATGATACATCTGTTAAAAATGTATACCCCTGATTATATGGTTCATGCTGAATGCCTACCAGAACACCTGCCACACAGCAGGAACTCAAATATTTTTGGAATAATTTCACTATGCACAACAATGAAAGCGCCATAATAAATGTAAAGTTTAAGTCTCGAGAATTCAGAAGGAAAGTAAAAGTAAAGCTCTAAAAGTAACTCAATCCTAAAGCCTTTAGGAAGAATATTAGACTTCAAATGTATGCCTTATTCCAAGTCCTTCTGAAAATAGGTGAGGATTAAATTAACATAATTAAGAAACTAATTTCTTTGGAGCATAAATTATCTAATTTCACCAGTTCAACAGAATTTGAAACATTTTTGTTTATTCATTTCATTTTTGATGACACTACTTCTTCCACAGGCAATATGTTAGAGCGGAGAGTCTAGGTTTTGAAATAAAAAAAGACAAGGAACTGAATCCCAACTCTTGTCACTTACGAGCTTTCTAACCAAGACCAAAACATCCGACCTGCCCAAACTTCAGTAATACCACCAATCTCCAAGTATCAAAGTGAAGTATCTAACACAGTACACAGCATATAACAGTACTGAATAAATGTTATCTTCCTTCTTTTTTACCTTTGGTCTATGCTTAATATATATATGTGTTAAAACTTGCCAAAAGCTCTACCTATGAGATCTTTAAAGAACTGGCACAGGCTTGCTTAGTTTAATATTGATATATTGCCCCAATCCTTACAGGATTTGTATCAGCTGAAATATTGTATAGATGCAGTGAAACTTGTTGAAAATACTGCATTCAAATGCCACAAATAAGAGACAAAAAGTCAAAGTATAAATATGAATAGCAACTAATACCTCTACAGTAAGAGATGTGGTATGAACACTGTAATGGACACAATTATTCACAAAATGAGTTTCGTTTTTTTAAAAACACCTGTCTAATATTAACTCATTTTCTCATTGATTTGACAAGAGAATCATGTCTCTACTGTTGAACAAACACCAAAATTTTTAGGTCAGCAGCATTTTGCAGAATACAGTTTATAAAGCACTGCTAGTGTTTCAAAGATAATTAATCTTTAAAAATGCCTTTTTAAAACACAATCCTTTTGTAAATAATGAAAAACAGAGGTTTAAACAACCTAAATGCATCAAAAGAGGTAGGATGAGAAGTAGGATCTCAAATTTCTGATTCCCATTCTAGATTTATTGATAAGAGTTCCTGAAACTGAAATATTACAAATTAATTTGTTACTATTATTTTGAATTATGTATATTTATAGTAGGTGGAATGCCATAATTTTATAATGTAAAACAGAAATTCAGTATTAACTTTGTAACAGCCTATTTTAAAAACTAACAGTTTTCCACCTAACAAACACTTCAGTGAAGTATAAGCAAAGATTTTAAACATAAGGTTTTACTAATCAATTTGTGAAACATGCCCCAAAATCTCTACTATAATAGGCAATACACTGCTTAACCATGTAAGGCCTAAGATAATAGTAACTTATCTCCTAATATTATAAGGTTTAAAACACACTTTTAAGAGGTAACTATTCAACTATGCAAAGCCAGTCTTCCTAATGAAACTATACATGACAGCTTAAAGAAAAACCTATATGGCAATCACTATCATACAGGCAACAATGGATCATTAAGTCACATACAACAGCCCTCTACAGAAAAATACTACCACATTCTGGCACAAAAACCATGATCATTTAAAATAAGCATTAAGCAGGGATTTCATTTCCAGCCAAGATGGAGTAACAGGGAGCGGTTGTACCCTCTTGCCTGAGACCATGAAAGAACTGTACTATATATATAAAACAACCACTTTTAAGGCATAAGACGACAGGCAAAAAAGGAGAGTTGATCCCTGACAGGCAGAAACAAATGAGGTGGGCCCTGACTGACTGCTTTGAGAGAGTTTCAAGGGTGCTGGGCAAGAAAAGAAAATCAGGTTGAGCTGTGAGTTCATAAGGAGCTCAGAGTCCAAGAAGATCAAAGAGGCTACAGTTCATGAGACAGAGTACAGGAGAAGAGAGAAAAATACAGAATGGAGACTCTAAAGAGATTCGCCTTGAATCTCAAGGGTTTCCCTCAAGTACTCAGGTTCGCACTGATCAGTGCATGTGTATGTGGAAACCACTACAGCCAAGGAAAGATCTACCAGAAAAGTTTAGGGGAAAATGTGCCCAGAGCTCACACAGGGCTGGGAATAGTGCCCCTTCCTACCAGCCAGACTGGAAAATGCCATGATTCCTGGGGCAGTGAACAGACTACCCAGAAGAACATAATGGGGAATTAATTAGTCCCAGTATAAACACTGTTCTGGTCCTGTCTAACAAAGACCCAAAAGGATGAAATTGTTTGCAAGTAACTTAATGATATCTCACAAGAAAGCTCAAACAATATATATAAGAATACAAAAATCAAAAGGAGCAAAGAGAACTTTAGAGCATGATGGTTTTGTTCATTATGATTGTGGTGATGGTTTCACAAGTATATACAAATGTCCAAACTTATCAAATTATACACCTTAAATATGTGCAGTCTATTCTACATCAATTATATGCCAAAACAGTTTTTAAAATAGCACTAATTAGACATTAAGTAGAGTCTTGACTATCAATTTCCATTTATATTTCTTTCTTATACTTTTTATCTTATAAAATATGCCAATATTCTGAATTTTTCTAAATTTCTTGTTTAGATCAACCTTTGTAAAAGTCAGTTTAAGTCAAAAATGAAAACTGTTCCACATTTTACAAGCGATTTTAATAATGGAGTCAGAATTTCTATTATAAACTATGAAACTTCAAAACATTCTTATGACCATAAATTTCTTACATACCTCTGTATATATACAAGGAGCTAGCTAGCAATTTTTCCTGAAAGACATATCACATCTTAAAAAAAAATGAGGCCACGCAGGGAGAGAACCTAGAAAATGATTAAAGGATTAAGGTCTACCAGCAAAATACAACCTAGAACGCCCCCTACCCCAGATGTTGGGACACAGAAACAGACCACTGGCCAACAAAGGGAAAGCAGAGTTCCAAGTTCTTCTGCCTCCGAGGCTTATGCCGTGACCCTGGGAAATATGGCATTCTAAAAGCATTTTCAGGGGCTTCCCTGGTGGCGCAGTGGTTGGGAATCTGCCTGCCAATGTGGGGGACACGGGTTCGAGCATGGGAAGATCCCACGTGCCGCAGAGCAACTGGGCCCACGCATCACAGCTACTGAGCCTGTGCTCTGGAGCCCGCGGGTCACAACTACTGAGCCCGCGTGCCACGGCTGCTGAAGCCTGCGCACCTAGAGCCTGTGCTCTGCACACAACAAGAGAAGCCACTGCAATGAGAGGTCCACGCACCTCAACGAAGAGTGGCCCTCACTTGCCACAACCGGAGAAAGCCCGCGCACAGCAACGAAGACCCAACACAGCCAAAAATAAATAAATAGAATTTATTTAAAAAAAATAAAAATAAACCATCTTCACTCTTGGCACAGAGGCAATTACATCTAATTCCAAAATAAGACTTCAAATATCTGATATATCATAACAGGCAGTTCACAATTGGAGGCAAAATCTGATCTTTCTGAAATATGAAATTTAACTAAAAAGATAAGAATTATTGTACTTTCTTTCTGAAAGGCATTCATTCATTCAACAAGTATTTACTGAAGGCATATATGCTAGGCATTGTTGTATGCAATGGACATAATTTTTCCCTCAAAGAGCTTTCAAAGGATGAAAAGCCTACTTTTACTTTAAAAGCAGGCAAACAAAAAACTGACCGGTGTTGGGGTAATCTAAGGGATAAAAAGCTCACAGTGAGCCTAATTCAATACTTGATTTTGATGAGCTGGTGACGAAAATTTTCATACTTCAGAGTTACCCTTCTAAAATAACATTCATATCTAAGTTTGCATCATTTGTATATTTTTATTGCAAAATATACTTTCATCCAACCCCCATCCTCTTCAATTCTACTTATCCTAGGTTTAGATCCCCATAATCTCTAGCCTAAGACAGAACAGCCTCCAAATTACTATTTCATCTCTTTTCACCTCTTTCAAACCAACTCCCGTATTACTGACAAAGTTATCTCTAAAAAAAAATCTGGTGGAATTTCACTAATCAAAATTTGACTTCATTCTCCATTTTCTAAGAATAAAAATTAAAATTCTGTTACACCCAATATCTTGTAATAACTTATAATGGAATCTAAACTGCAAAAAGGCCCAAATCACTATGCTGTATACCTGAAACTAACAGAATATTGTAAATCAACTATACTTCAATTAAAAAGAAAACAAAAAAAGAAATAAAACTGTATTGATAATGCGAAAAAAAATTAAAATTCTAAAGTGTAACATACCAGGAGGTTCACAAATGTAGACTTTCTTGTATTGCTAGTCACTCTGAACAATGAACCAACTAAAAGGTATAAAATATTGTTCCTTAGAGCCCTAGTTTTCCTCAGCAGTAAATCAGTCAGGAAGAAGGGGGAGGTTAAAACTTACAAAGAGCACCAGAACCATGCCCTTTCTTCAACGAGAATAGAAATGAAATTTCATGCGAAAATCGCGTTAAAGGAGGCAGTTCAAAAAGAGAAATACACCTGGTCCTTTAAGCATATTAGAAGATATTAAACATCACTCATAATGCAAATTAAAACAAAGTAACATTTTTAACTAATTAGACTGGCAAAGGTTAAACACAAAAAAAGCTGATAATATACCACCTGGGAGGATACAGGGCAAGAAGCACTCTCATATACCAAATAAATGAGTATAGACAGCTAAAAAGCTTCTGTGGAGGGAAATTTGGTAACAACTATCAAATTTTAAAATACATGGACCTCCTGACTAGGAGACTTCACTTCTAGGAATCTATCCTACAAATGACATGTACTGTAACACTGCTTCTGGGAAGAATATATCAGATACCAAGGGGACTTAATTAAAAGAAAGTTTTCCATCAAGACAGGGATTATACATCCATGCATTACAATGTTATGCAGGTACCTAAAGGATGAGGTAAAGGATGTGCTGACAGCACACGAACTTTAAAAGATATTGCTAGGTAGAGTATGCTACCATTTGCATTTCCTACCATTTGCATTTCCAACCATTCTCCCTGTCAAAAGTGACACACATGCACACACACCTATCTGTGTGTGCATGAGAAAAAATTTCTGGAAGAGTTCTTAAGAAATTGTTAACAATGTTTGCCTAAGTGAAGGAGGACTTGAGATCAGGGGTGGGAGGACTTATTTTTCACCATATACTCTGTACTGTTTGTAATTTTTTAACATGGGTACATGTTACTTTTTTCAAAAGAATATTTTACAGCTTTTTAAAAATAGATGAGATGTCCCATTTAAGCAACCTCCCAAAATCTGAAAACTTCCATTTTAATCACTTTATTCTTTTTTCCCTAGGTAGGCCTTGTACTTTAATAATGCTAAGGCTTACTCATGCCATTCATGGGATACAATGTCTTTCCCCAGCCTACCACCTCTGTCTTATTTAAGCCATACTCATCCTTCAAGGCCTACAAGGCTCAAAAGTAATGCAGCAAATCACCAGAGTCAGGATTCAATAAGTCTATTTCAAAGTCCATAATGTGTTCATTATATCATGCTATCTCTCTAAAAACAAAGTCAAGGATGGTGTCTAATTCATCCTGCTAGTCTCCACAACAAGCATGTTGCAAGCACTCAACAAACATTTTTTGAAAAGAATAATGAATGCATGTGAGAGGGAAAGAGAGCTCCTTAAAGCTTTAATGAACAGCCTCATTTCTACACTGGATATATAGGAACACAGAAGCAGATGAAAGAGTCACATGATCAGTTTTAGACTATGCAAAGCTCTACAGTATAAAAGCTTGAATTATAACTATCGTGTCTTCTACATAGTAACTTTACTGTTTAATATAAGGAAAGTCTTCCCCTACTAGACTTTATTAGTTCTAGGTCTTATATGGCTTTGTTTTTCTCCCTCAATGTCTAACACAGCGCTTTCTATGGATACAGTAACAGAAATAGTGTCTTTATTCTTAGTAACACCAACATTTTCGTGGCTCTTCACAGGTACTCAATAAACATTTACAGAAGGACAGAAGGGACTGAGGGGAGACTAGATAAAAATAATATTTGATGAAAGAATAGTACATCTAGCAAAGCTGAATTTAGTTACCTCGTTCTAAAATGTTTACCTAACAACTAAATAATTTAGTTATTACCTCCTCATACATAGTCTATGAGGAGAGCCAAACCATAAAACATGGAAAGTACTACAAAGATAGAATAATATTTAGTTACATATTATCTGAGAACCTGAAGTAGTGAAATACTTTATTTAAAATATGCCCAACTTAAACTGACAGAAGTAAAATATGACTCCTAATTCAAAAAAATAAATTACAAACTATTAATCTTTTAAACTAGTATGAGCAAACTACATGAAACAAATTTTCAGAAATCTGATGTCATATTTCATATTACACAGAAATATCGCTGTGTAAAAAATGAATACCTTTGAAACTGTAGTAAAGTCTTAGAGCTGAAATAAGTACATGAGAAAATCTCTAGGAAAAGAAAAATGGGGCTTTTTATAAGGGACTGTTTTATTAAGACAGATGGCAAGCTATTAGGATAAATAAGATTTAAGGATTATTCAGAACTTCTCAATTTTAACTCTCTTTTTATTTGGGATATCTAAATTAACTGGGTTTTTTTAATAACAGGTAGGCTTGCAGCTCTGTCAAAATTTTCCCTGAACTTTCTATATTTTGAGAATCCTCACAAAATGATGAATCCTTACCATTCAAATATCTACAAAACAAAACACAACACCTAGAAAGTTTCCAGAGAAAATATCCCTGGGGTGAGACTGTATTAAAAGCAATAATCTAAACCATTTCACAATATATATATACACATATCAAATCACCAAGTTGTGTAACTTACACAATGTTAATTATATCTCAATAAAGCTAGGAAAAAATATTATTTAAGCAAAAAAAAATACATATTCCTATAGGTAACAAAAGGGGCAAGGAGAGATCAGGGATTTATGACCAATAAATGCCTGGTATAAATGCTATCTAAAAATTGCATACTTCAATATTAACTTCCAAACTTAGCATAAATAATTTAAAATGAATCAAGTTACCAATGTTGAATCAGTATTTCTGCATCTTTTAATCCACAATCATACATTATATGACTTTTTAAAATGTATATTTTTAATAAACTACTTGGCAAATAAGAGAAAACCTTCACGTAGTTGTATTATGTGTTAACATAACAATTTGTCTCTATAAAGGGAAAAAACAAACTCAAACTGATTATTATTTAAAAACTCTAAAAATATTTACTTTACTTTAGCAGGCATATGTGTGTATGGATAGAATAATATGAAACATTGAAACGCCTGATACATTATCTAGCGTCTCTGACTTTTCATTTAGTAAAAGGTAAGTCTGAGGGAAGCCATTATGCCAATATAGTAAACTAAAATGTTCTCAATATTAAAAAAAAATTTTTCACCAGGGTGTTTTTAAAACAGATAAACTACATAAGTATATTTGAAACAAATCTTCTGCCCAATAAACTGAGATAAATATTTGTTCAAAATCAGAATAAATTAAAGATGTTATCTTAAGGAAAACATATACATATATATATCCCTATTCAGGTATAAGGAAGAAAGCAAAACTGAAAAAAAAAAGCCTTCATTAATCAATTCCATATACTAATTACTGAGGTGACGTCTTTCATTTTTGATGAAGACAATTAAAATATAACTACCCAAACCAGAGAAGTTAGTATTCCATAAACTTCAAAGTATTACAAAAACAATAAGCTCTGCCAGGTGTTTTTTTTCGCAAGCACATAAAATTCATTCTTTCTAAATTTCAACTAGCTTCTTTCTAATAAGAGATATTGTAAATCAAATTTTACTGAAGAGTTTTAAACCTATTTTTTTAAATGGCCCATCATGAAATATTTAAAGTAACAAAATAGAACATGGTTCCATGTGTTTTTTTCCATTATTTCCAAAATAAATTAATTTCACTTCTTAAAACGAATTGATCTTCAGCACAACCAGCTAACTTACAGTGTTAGTTGGATCTTCTTGTAAAATTCGATCATATAGCTGTATAGCATCATCATATCTATTTAAAAAGAAAAACAAATATCAAGAATCATTACCTTAAAATTTAGTGACAAATAGTAAATACAGAAAATGATTAAACTGGCAGGACTTTATATGCATTTACAATTGCTACTAAGCCTCTTCTGATCTTCACATGACAGCAAGTTTGCTACAATGTCATTTTCTAAGCAAAAAAAAAAAAAAAAAAAAATAAAAAATTTTTTTAAAAAAAAAAAAAAAAAAAAAAAAAAGTATAAAGTATTTATAGAAAAACTTACTTCAAAAACATACTGATTCAATTTGGCCTAAATACAAAGGTAAAAACTAGCAGCTCAAAGAGACACCTTTGTGGTCCTAGTTATACATAGAATTACAGCTAATAAACCATGAAAAAAAGTTTAATTTTAACAAATATATTCACAAGGAAATGATCTAAGTATTAGTTCTCCTTTAATAAATATTTATGACAGCTTTTCTTAGTTGAGCTGGTGAAGTTCAATTCATTAAGTACCTATTAAGTATGCACACATAATACACTTTGCTGGGTTAGTCTCATATGGGAAATAGTTAACAAGTTTATCAAATGAAAAAATAATCAAATATGGCAGGATATAACTAAGAAGCCAAAATTAACATTATATGATAGTGAATCAAAGGGAGGAATACATCAGAAATCACATAAAGAACTTTACCTAACAATATACTCCTATACACTGTGATCTTATTTGGGATACAAGGAAATAGTCGAGTGATTCTGAAATTCCCTCCTAACCATATCCACAACCCCCAACTCCCTTCCAATCAATTTCTCCACTTCCGGATATAGATCTTTAGAGAAAGCAAAAAACGATGTTTAAACACTTTTACAGCAGTATTTATAAAACTAGGGATGGCAGATATACTCTTGTGATCTATTCTTAAGTTCCCTATGATAATTTTTTAATTTTTCTCTTAATGTTATTCAACACATGAATATTCTATATCATCATGGTGACACATCTTTTAATCAAACACCAGCCCACAAATTTAGTGACCAAGCCTGTATCTGTGGTTGTGGTCATGCCAGTAGCTAAGAATATTTGACTACTGTAGCAGACTACTGAGAAAAATAAAATCAGACTTAGTTTGTAAATATGTCCATACCATGCAAAGTCCAAATAACATCACTGTACACTAAGTTAATCAGAGTTAGTAATAGCTCAAAAAAAGAACATTAGTTTGGACATCAAACACATGATTATATAGTAGGTATGCTAGCCTCATAAGAACCTGCAACTATATGGAGAAAGAGAAAATAGTATCATTAAACAAGTATAAAATAAAGTATATAAACAGTATATAAACAAGGGCAAAATTAATGCCATAGAGCACGGGTTCTCACAAGACACAGTACATGAGAATCACTTGGGGATCTTTTCCCAACTATATAACTTCTAGGAAATATATTGGAAATGACAGAGGAAACTATTCATTCACTTCATTAATAGAATGATAATTTGAATTTTAGTACTTTCTAGTTTTTTTGGTATTTTATTAGAAACCATACATTGTTTTCACAGTTATATGAAAATATACATGTAAAGCACTAATACTGGTTTTATATTTGAACATATTTAAGTTATATTATAATAAAAAAAAAGTAATTTATGTAAAAACTGGGTGTGATGATTAGTTTTATGTGTCAACCACAGGGTGCCGAGATCAAATATTATTTCCGGGTATGTCTCAGGGTGTTTCAGATGAGATTAGCATTTGAATCCATGGACTCAGTAAAACAGATTACCTTCCCTAATATGGGTGGACACCATCCAATCCCTCAAGGGCCTGAATAGAACAAAGGCAGAAGGGAGAATTTACCTCTTTTTACTGCCTTACACTGCTGGAGCTGGGACATCTCATCTCACTTTCTCTTGCCTTCAGACTTCAAACTGAGATTTACACCATTGGCTCCCCTGGTCCTCAGGCCTTCAGACCTGGTCTCAGACTGAATTACAGCACCAGCTTTCCTGGGTCTCCAGGTCACAGAGAGCAGATCCTGGGACTTCTTAGCCTCCATAACTGCCTCATAATAAATCTCCATTATATATATATGTATATGTATACACACACACACACACACACACACACACACACACCCCACTGGTTCTGTTTCTCTAGAGAGTCTTGACTAATACACTGAAGGTCCATAAAAATTTACCTTTAGTCAGCAACGTTCTCAAATCTGCCTGTCTATTCTCCTGCATTACACCCCTAACAGACTGATTTCAGTAGTGAGGACTAGGCAACTACATATTTTTTAAATGCCACAGATAATTCTAATTCACACAATCATGTATGAGAATCAATGGTTAAAGGTCCTGTGTAACAAAAACATATAACAGCCACTCTTTCAGAAAAAAACAGTAAAACCTTACTAGGTAAAATGATGATATGAGTTTCAATTAAAGAATAAAAGCTTAAAGAAATTAAAGTTCACTAGGTTTCTTAGAAACCTGAGTTAATACTTAAAAATAAATTATTGTTACCATATCAATTTTTTGTATGGCTGGAAAGAGGGTAGAATGATAACTATTAAAATGTGTTAAAAAGATAATTTGAAAAATCATTCATCTTGGACTCTGGGATGTGCTTTGCTATTCACATATTTTAAGAACGGGCTAGGAACTCATACTACTTGAAGTAAAACAAAAAGTGGTATTAGAGTAGAATACTGATTCAGGAGCAATCCTTTGCAGATTTCTTCCATTCTGTCCTCTGATTCAAAATTATTTTCTGCTAACCTATAATAATAATATTTTATTTATTTTTATTTATCCATGCCCTTTGCTAACTGAGAAAATCCAAAGATATTAAACTATACATATACATAAACACATAAGCCAAAAGCCAAGAAATAAACGGGTTAAGAAAAACTATATCAATAGATCCTATGTGAAAAAAGCTGCTACAATTGAGGTACAAGTTATCCCTGTCTCACCTAAAACACCAAGTTAAAAAGGTAAGAAACAACAAGCTGACTCTAAAATGAATATAAAAATTTAAGAGACTCAGACAAAATAATCTTGAAAAAAAAAACCCACAAAGTTGAAGGACTCACACTTCCCAATTTTAGAACTTACTACAAAGCTACAATATCAATATTGGGATCGATACAGTGTGGTATATAATAAACATATATATCGATGGAACAGAATTGAAAGCCCAGAAATAAAACATCGCATTTACATTCAATTGATTTAATTGCCCAAGACAATTAAATGGGGAAAGCAGTCTTTTCAACAAATGGTGCTGGAACAACGGGGTATCCACAAAAGAAAGAATAAAGTTGGACACCTTCTTCATACTGTATTAACTCAAAAAGTGTCAATGACCTAAATGCAAAAACTGAAACTATAAAACTGTTAGAAGAAAAGAGGTGTAATCTTTGTGACCTTGAATTAGGCAATGGTTTCTAGAAATAACACCACAATGACAAGCAACAAAAGAAAAAATGAACTGAACTTCATAAAAAAATCAAAATCCTTTGTAATCAGACACCATTAAGCAAGTGAAAGACAACTCACATAATGTAAGAAAATTTTTGCAAATCATATATATGATAAAAAAACTTGTATCTAGACTATATATAAAGAACTCTTACAACTAAATAATAAAAAGATGTAAATAAATAAAGTAACCCAATTTAAAAACAGACAATGTGAACAAACATTTCTCCAAAGAACATATATAAATGGCCAATTATTGCATGAAAAGATACTCAAGATTTCTGGTTCCTGGTCTGGCACATAAAGACCTTGGAAGTCATCACTCCCATCCTCGCAAGAAAAAAGCTGACCCAACAACTCTTCTTATATCCATCAGACAATTAAAGTTACAGGGCAAACCCCTGCATCCAAAATTGCAAGACAGGTGAATACAATCACAGCTTACTGGTGCAAAGGACTCCATCAAAAACTGTTACAACTAATAAATTCAATAAAGTTGCAGATACAAAATTAATATACAAAAATCTGTTGTGTTTCAATACACTAATAAGAATCTATCAGAAAGAGAAATTAAGAAAACAATCCCATTTATAATTGCATCAAGAAGAATAAAATACCTAGAAATAAATTTAATCAAAGAGCTGAAAGCCCTATATACTACGAACTGTAAGATACTAATGAAATAAACTGAAGACACAAATAAATGAGATGATTATCTCATGCTCAAGGACTGGAAAAATTAAGATTAGTCAAATGTCCATAGTACCCAAAGCAATCTACAGATTCAGTGCAATTCTTAAAATTCCAGTGCCATTTCCCACAGAAATAGAATAATCCTAAAATCTGTATGGAATCACAGAAGATCTTGAGTAGCCAAAGCAATCTTGAGCAAGAAAAACAAAGCTGGAGGGATCAGGCTCCCTGGTTTCAGACTATATTACAAACCTATAGTAATCAAAACAGTAAGGTACTGGCATAAAAACAGACACATAGATCAATGGGACAGAACAGACAGCCCAGACATAAACCCACACATATATGGTCAATTAATTTATGACAAAGGAGCTAAGAATATATCATGGGGGAGAAACAGTCTCTTCAATAAACAGTGTTGGGAAAACTAGACAGCCTGAATGAAACTGGACCTCTATCTTTATACCATACAGAAAAACAACTCAAATGGATTAAAGACCTGAACATAAGACCTGAAACCATAAAACCCCTAGAAAAAAATGTAGGTGGTAAACTCCTTGACATCAATCTTGGTGATGATTTTTTGGATTCAACACAAAAAGCAAAGTCAACCAAAGCAAAAATAAACAAGTGGGACTACATCAAACTAAAAAAGCTTCTGCACAGCAAAGAAAAACATCAACAGAATGAAAAGGCAACTTATGGAATTAGAGAAAATATTTGCAAATCATACCTGATAAGGGGCTAATAACCAAAATATTATAAGAACTTATATAATTCAATAACAAAAAAACAAACAATCCAAGTAAAAGGGGTCAGAGCAACTGAATATACATTTTTCTAAAGAAGACACACAAATAGCCAACAAGTCCATGAAAAGGTGCTCAACATCACTAATCATCAGGGAAATGAAAATTAAAACCACAATGTGATATCACCTCATACTTATTAGAATGGCTATTATCAAAGAGACAAAACATACCAAGTGTTGGAAGGATGTGGAGAAAAGGGAACCCTTGTGCACTGTCGATGGGAATGTAGATTGGCACAGTCACTATGGAAAACAGTATAAAAGTTCCTCAAAAAATTAAACACAGAACTACCATTTAATCTAGTCAATTCTACTTCTGGGTATTTATCCAAAGGAAATAAAATCACTAACTTGAAAAGATATTTGAACCCCCATGTTCATCGCAGCATTATTTATAACAGCCAAGACATGGAAACAACCTACGTGTCCATCGACAGATAAATGGCTAAAACAGTTTGGTGTAAGTACAGCTGACCCTTGAACAACGTGTGGGTCAGGAGCCCCAAACCTACAGTACAGTGGAAAATCCATACATAGGGGACTTCCCTAGTGGTCCAGTGGTTAAGAATCCGCCTTCCAATGCAGGGGATGAAGGTTCAATTCCTAGTTGGGGAACTAAGATCCCACATGCCACAGGGCAACCAAGCCCACGTGCCGCAACTACTGAGCCCACATGCTCTAGAGCCCGCATGCCACAACTAGAGAGCCCACACATCACAACTACTGAGCCCGTGCACCGCAATTAGAGAAGCCCGCGTGCTGCAACTAGAGAAGCCCGCATGCTGCAACGAGAAGCCCATGTGCCACAATGAAGAGCCTGCGTGCCACGACAAAGACCCAGCACAGCCAAAAGTAAAAATTTAAATTAAAAAAAGGAAAATCCATATATAACTTAAAATCGGTCCTTCCATATCCAAGGTCCTACATCCACAGATTCAACCAACTACAGACTGTGTAGCACTGTAGTATTTACTATTGAAAAAAATCCACGTACTAAGTGGACTCACACAATTCAAACCCATGTTACTCAAGGGTCAACTGTATATACAATGGAATATTACTGAGCCACAAAAAAGGAAAGAAATTCTGCCATTTATGACAACCTGGATGGACCTTAAGGGCATTATGCTAAGTGTAGTAAGTCAGACAGAGAAAGATAAATACTGTATGATCTCACTTACATGTGGAATCAAAGAGAACCTGAGCTCACAGATACATAGAACAGATTAGTGGTTGCCAGACGAGGGAATGGTGAGTGGGAGAAGTGGGTGAAGGTGGTCAAAAGGTACAAACATCCAGTTATAAGATAAATTAAGTCCTGGGGATATAATACAGCATGGTTTACTATAGTTAACAATACTGTGTTGTACATTTTAAAGTTGCTAACAGAGTAAACCTTAAACATTCTTATCATAAGAAAAAAATTTATAACTATGATGATGGATGTTAACTAAACTTATTGCGGTAATCATTTCACAAAGTACACATTTAACAAATCATTATGTTATACACCTGAAACTAATACAATGTTATATATCAATTATATCTCAATTAAAAAAATAATAATAGGGCTTCCCTGGTGGCACAATGGTTGACAGTCTGCCTGCCAATGCAGGGGACACGGGTTCGTGCCCTGGTCTGGGAAGATCCCACATGCCGCAGAGTGGCTGTGCCCGTGAGCCATGGCCGCTGAGCCTGCACGTCCGGAGCCTGTGCTCCGTAACAGGAGAGGCCACAACAGTGAGAGGCCCGCGTACCGCAAAAAATAAAATAATAATAATAATAGCTTCTATACCTTGAGTGCCTGTGAGGGCACTACACGTATATCATTATTAATTCCCAAAACAACCCTGACAAGTTGGTAATATTCTTGTTTTACAGAGGAGTAAGGCTGAAAATCTTAAATAATTTGCCAGGTCAATAGCTAATAAATCCTTAGAAACAGGATAGGAAGCCTATTTTACTCCAAAGCATGATCCCAATTCCACTAGGCCAAAGATGGTAAATGGATTACACTCTTATGTCAAATTCTATTTAAGGAGAGTAACTTGGCAGGATTTAGGCTGAGAAGCACTCTGACACTATTCTGAAGCTCACTAGCAAAAGATCTTGCACAATTAATGATGTTGCCTCGGGTACAGAAGGACCTAAATGTAAGACCCCATGTTTGCCATTTTAAAACAGGATCACACTATTTACAAGATTCAGTTACCTCTCCATGGCTTCAAATCTCATGCCAGTTAGTCGCTTGACTCTGTGACTGCCAGGGAACTGTCTTCTCAACTCCTGAAGACAAAACTAAAAAAAAATATTGGTAAAAAAGACTTGAAGATTAAAAAAAAAAAAAAAGACTTGAAGAGTAGTAATTACACTACATATACTAAATGGGTTACAAGGAACGGCTTACATAGTCTTCAATGTTTTTCTTAAATAATTTCATTACTGAGATCTAATGACATAAGTGAAATTAATCAGTAATGAATAATGCGGTAAAAGAACTCTGAACTTACAGTGAGGACAACAATCAGTTCTCAGAAACTCATCAAGCTCTTAACTAAGAAAATGAGCAGATTATGAGGTCCACTAATAACTCTTCAAATACTACTACCATATCACTTAAAAATTGCTTCCATAATGTGTCAGGCACCACTTAAATAACTACAACTGCTTGCTGGCCTTTTCTTCCTAAGTATTGCACAAACATTCTCTTGATAAAAATTAAGTTTTTTGGTAGTAACCTCAAGTCCCTAGCAAATACTGTTAACACTTTGTTTAATTTTGCCCTGTTGAAGTCATATTCTAATCAATCACCTTGTCAGTACACATGTGATTTGGGGTCATAAAATACAGACACCATATCAATGGAGTACCAATCTCCTTTTGGCAGATATCCATAATTTACCCATCAACTCAACTACACAAATAATCAAATATTTATTGAGCACCTACTATGTTCACAGCAACCTATAAGGGATTATAAGAGTCTTGGAAGTGCTAGAAATATTAAGCATGATAAAAATGGTCCACTCTAGTTCCCCCAAGCATAACTGATTAAAAATGCCTTTAACTAATGAAGAAACTATTAACCAATAATAAAGTAGATTTTAATATGATCTGGAAATATAGCTTCAAAGTCTGTGGCTCTAAGTTCTGTAATAAGAAAAATATTCAAGTTAGTCAAAACTGAAGATGATGGTCATTTATTTCTCTGACATCATGCAAAACTCATAGTACTTGTTCAATCAAGCTAACTGTGCTGAAGTTCCGAACCATTAAAAAAAAAATTCTGTGTTACAAAAGAAGTTATTACCTATTCACTTAATCTCCTACTTTACTAAATGGCATTTTGCTATACAAAAAAAAATTTCAAAATTTCCCTCAAGATATAAGCTGCCACCTCTGTTGGTATTCAAAGGCTATGTCTCATAGGTGCTAAATGTAATACAACGGTTTCGTGGAATATTTTTTATCACTGGTAGCTCCACTGGAATTATGTGTATAGTCAACATGACATAATTACCTTGAAAAGGACAAAGCTAATTAGACATGCATATGTTCTTGGGTATTTCTACTTTCTGTTTTTTTTGTATTTCTTTTGGGCTTAAATGAGGAAGCAGTGTGAAAGAGCACTTAAGAGCTCAGAAATACAGAACAAAAGAACAGAAACCACTGCTTCCTGATTTATATAATGAATATAGTGATAGTATCAAACACAAATCAAATTAAGAAATAATTATAAAGATTAAATAAACCATGATGTAAAGCTTCTAGCATAGCACCTAGCACATGAGTGTTTAAAAATATAGCTATCATTCTTTTATTTTAAAATTAAATTAAAATTAAAAATTACTTCCATGTGTCAGGCCCCACTTAAATACCTAATATTAATATTTTAAGTCATGTTCTGTACATGTCAGGATTTTCTACTAATTTAACATATACATTTAAAACATTGTAAAACAGTACTTAACATTATATATTAAGTCATTTAACAACCCCAAAAATAAATGTTTTAAACTATATGCTTATTTTTAACTCTATAATATGGCATAATTCACCTATTAAGTGGATAACCTTCACCAACTAATTTAACCTCTTCAGTGAAACTGGGATACTAAACATCTACTTCTCAGGATTGTTAAAAAGATATAAAAACATACTGTGTCCCAAAGTACCTAGCTAGTCCCAGCTACTCAAGAGTAGCACTGAGGGCTTCCCTGGTGGCACAGTGGTTGAGAGTCTGCCTGCCGATGCAGGGGACACGGGTTCGTGCCCCAATCCGGGAGGATCCCACATGTCGCGGAGCGGCTGGGCCCGTGAGCCATGGCCGCTGGGCCTGCGCGTCCGGAGCCTGTGCTCCGCGATGGGAGAGGCCACGACAATGAGAGGCCCGCATACCGCAAAAAAAAAAGAGTAGCACTGAAAACCACCTACAGAAAGGATTCAATACAGCCATATACTAACTGCTTACACATAATTTATGAAGCAAATTAAATATAAAATAAAACAAGTTTAAATACCTACCAATGACAAGTCATCCCGACCATAGTCGAGGGCCGCAATCATCACCTGTTCATATATGATCCAAACTAGATACACAGAGGAAAAAACTGAATTTAATATAAAAATCTCAGAACAGAAATTAGATAATAAATTCTTCCTGTTTCTGATATTTTAAAGAACATTACTCATAACTGAAAATTGATTTATTGTATTACATCTGGAATTAAGGAAAGAAAGCAACCTTATGTTTTCAGCAATGCAAAATATTTTAATATAAGGTAAAAAAAAATCTCTAATTATTTAATACTTTTACTGTTTCAAAAGATCATTATAAAATACATTTTGACCTGACCAGGACTACAGCCTTATGAGCTTTAAAACAAAAATGCCTATTTGATAGCTTCACTACTACCAACAATTATAAGTCCTTCTCAAAATAAAATTGTCATTAAGACTTCCTAAGAAGTTTTTTAAAAACTAACAGATCATAGAGAGATTAATATGAACAGCAGAAAAAACATAATAATAATATTTTTTAAAAAAAACTAAGAACTGTAAATGAAACACGTGCTGAGCATGAACACAATAAATTAAAAAACTTACTATCATCTCCAAGCTTAGAAGCATATTCATTAATTAATTCCTCTCCAACTTCCACAATTTGCTCACTGTTTCGTGAGTTTTCTTCTCTCCATTTTCTCATTTTATCTCGCATTTCTGAAAAAAAAATGCTTGCGATTACATATATATATACATTTGATTAATGTCAGTTGACAAGATGAAATCAACTTTTTAAGAAAATACACTCACACTAATGTAAAAGTCTATGGTATCTCAAATTTCATAAAGCAGAAAATCATTTTAGCAAGAGCAACAGATCCTTTAGAACAGCGCTCCCCAATCTCTTTGGCATCAGGGAGTGGTTTCGTGGAAGACAACTTTTCCACGGACGGGGGAGGGGCATGTTTCAGGCAGTAGTGCGAGCAATGGTTCAGGCGGTAATGTGAGTGATGGGGAGCAGCAGATGAAGCTTTGCTCACTCACCCACCGTTCACCTCCTGCTGTGTGGCCTGGTTCCTAACAGGCCGAGGACAGGGGATTGGGGACCCCTGCTTTAGAAGACTGAAAATGCATTACAACCGATATTACAACCATCTTTAAAAGTAGTGTACAGCATGGGTCTGCTACAAATATCTTCTATCCCTTTAAGCAACTATGGATCATAGCTTTTTTGGGTTACAATGTTCAGAATTTGATAAAAGCTAAGGATTATTTTCTCAGAAAAACAAATAAAATTATACATTGAAATCTCAAAAATTCAAGGTGCTCCTGAAGTTTACCCATTGACTCAAGAATATAAAATTTTCATAATCAGGGTATCATATTAGGCTATCAGCACTGAAGAAACATTCATCACAAAACTCTCTTAATAACAACATTACTACAACAGTCCATATAAAGATACACAATTACACAGGGAAATACACAGAAGAAAAAATTAGGACAAAGGAAATTTTTTGATTATATATAAAGATAAAAATGAATAATGTAAAGTAAGGTCAAAGGCACTAGCAAACAACAAAAGTTGAGAGAACAACTTTGCATATTAATACAATAGGGAACTCTGGAGTTTCAAAGAACAGCATTTTGACAATAGCAGAAATAATAACTGGGGTGGGGGAGTACCTAACCCAGAAAAAAGATCCCTTTTTTATATGGCTAAGGTAGAATTAACTGTCCAGTTCACCAATTACATACATGCTTTCTTACTCTTACCTCTTGAAAATCTTACATATTCATCTGAAGTATTACCTTCTTCCTTCTATTGACATACATGTTGTACAGATTTAAATAGTTGAATTAAGTTGTTGTTGAACACATGAGTTAAATAAACAATATGCTATGCTTCTATAGAATATATCTAAGAGAAGCATATAGGATTTTCACTACCTTTATATGCATTACCTGAGTCCCTACAGTTCGAAGTCTACAAAAGAAAACAAAAATCATCATAAGATGAAAATGGACCCTAAGTGAATTTACAAAAACGGTCTTAGAAAATCATTACAAATTAACATAGTTAATTTCTTCTACTGAAACCTAGAAATCACCTTGACTCTCACTCTGCACAGGAAGTAACTTGAACTGAATCTTAAAGGTTGAAGAGGAATTGAGCAGGCAAACAAAAAAGTAGGTTACTCATACCCCACAGGTTAAGGACTCAGTCTCAAAAGACTGCCCCCACTTCAGAAACCAACACAAGTCAGGGATACCCATATTTCTGAGCAACTCGTTACAAAATCAGGGGTTCCTTTCTACAACTCCCTCATCCAGTTTGATACTTGCTAGAGTGGCTGAAAGAACTCAGGAAAGTGCTTCACTTACTATTACTGGTTTTTTATAAAGGATACAACTCAGGAAACAACCAAATGGAAGAGATACACAGAGCAAAGAGCTGGGGGGTGGGAGGGGGTTTTCGGGGGCATAGGAGTACCCTCTCTGAGTGAGTCACCATCCCAGCATCTTGATGTATCCACCAACCTAGAAGTTCTACGAACCCTGAAGTTTAGGGGCTTTTATGAAGGTTTCAGTCTGTAGGCATGACTGATTAGATCCTTAGACACTGGTTATTAAGTCAATCTCCAGATCCTCTCCCCTTCCAGCAGGTTGAGAGGTAGGGTTGAAAGTTCCAACCCTTCACTCAAGTCTTGGTCTTACCAGTGACCAGCCCCCATCCCGAAGCTATCCAGCCACCAGTTATTCAGTGGTATATAAAAAGACATGTATCACTATAAATCTCAGAAGATGTTGTATGTGGAACCCAGGACTAAGACCAAATATTATAACAGAAGATGTTCCTATCAACCTTATCACTAAGGAAATTACAAGGGTTTAGGAGCTCTGTGCCAGAAATTGGGGATGAAGACCAAATATACATTATACCTTATTACATCACAATATAACATATATCCACAAGATAACATGCATATAACATATATCCACAAGGTCCACAACCTGGGTTCTCAGAACTCGTTCAAACCACATCCCCTATACCATAGTTATACTGTCTGAAGTTGACATTCTCTGTCAACCTGGCAGACTATTTTAAAATAGGAAGGGCCTCGGGAATACAAATTTATTTAGTGTTTTACAAATCTGTTCCACAAAACTGCACCCCTCGCCTGTACCCTGACACCCAAATTAAGAAATGCTAGCCCAGGCGAATTAATAAAATATGCAGTTTGAATTTAAGAAATATCTTTTAATCTATTAGATTATTTCTTAACTTGCTTTAGAATGCCCTTTAAGAAACTGTAGAATTCCTTCCCATAAACTAGAGACTAAAAGAGAAAAACTGGTCCCATCTCCTTTTTTGTCAAATTTCTCATTTACCAACAGTACTCAATTTTCCATCAGTCTCCTCCTACTTATTCATAATCAAAGTATATTACTGGAAAATCTCTGACTTTTAAAACATTCTCTTTCACCCACTGTCATGTCCCCCATGACTTCTAATTAGTCATTCAAAAATATATTAATACATACTTTTTATAACATGCTATAAACGTAATGATGAAAAAGAATCATCCAGTGTGCCTAAGAAATTGACAAGTTAACAGAAAAACTGCAAACAGCAGCAAAATAATGTGATAAAAGGTAAGATAGTGGTTATGTTCAGAGCACTAAGAAAGCAAGGTGAGGGAAAGATTAATTTCACCTGGCAGGGAGAAAGGGTTAAAGAAGACACCTGTGATATGTGAATTAAGCCCTAAGGATCAAAGGGAGTTTGTTAGATGAATTCTACAACAAAGAGCATAAACTATGGTAGAGGAATAAAAGTATCTCATTTGGTAAGGCAAGGGTCTCCAACCTCCAGGTCATGGATCAGTACCAGTCCATGGCTTGTCAGGAACCGGGCCGCATAGCAGGAGCTGAGTGCAGCGGGCAAGTGATCAAAGCTTCATCTGTATTTACAGCCACTCCTCATCATTCTCATTACTGCCTGAGCTCCACCTCCTGTCAGCATTATGGTGAATTTTATAATTATTTCACTACATATTACAATGTAATAACAATAGAAATAAAGTGCACAACAAATGTAATGTGCTGGAATCATCCCAAAACCATCCACCCTACCCTGGTCCGTGGAAAAATTGTCTTCCGTGAAACCAGTCCCTGGTACCAAAAAGGTACCAACCTTTTCCCAGGGACTGGGAAAGTGCCCAACCCACCTACTGGGGGAGAGAGAGAAGGCAGGCAAAGGAGTTCCTTCAGGCCATTGCAAAATGGAGCTCAGGTTAATTCTTAGTTTATGTAACCCACAGCAGGGGTGGGGAACATGTTTCTCTGTCAAAGACTACTCCCAGAGACCCTTAAAAAAAAACCTGAAGGATCACTCACCAGAAGAAGGAAAATTAGGAGAGCAAAGTATAATAGGAAAGAACAAATCTGGCTCCATATTGTATCTTTTTCTTTTACTTTAACCTTTGTATTCTATTGCTTTTGCTACAAGTTAAGAGTGTTGCCTAATGGCCTGAAATATACAGGCCAGCCCTTTCTCAAGACTCCAACCTTTAAAGGTATAACACTTTTCTACTTATACAGAGATAAGAAGTTGCAAACAGAGTATAAAGTTTGTCTTGTTGGAGGTTTTCAGGAACATCATGACCTGACCTACATGAACAGATGCAAGAACAAAGGATTTTGACACCAAGAAGTTTGCAGCAATCAACCATACCCCCTCTCCTCTTTTAGTTATAAAAGAGCCTGAATTCTAACTGGGGTAAGATGGTTCTTTGGGACACCAGTCCACCATCTTCTCAGCTGGCTGGCTTTCTGAATAAAGTCACTATTCCTTGTCCCAACAACTCACCTCTCGATTTATTAGTCTGTTGCTCGTTGAGCAGAATGATCTTGGACTTGGTAATAAAAGCACTTTTTCTAAAGATTAACTAGGAAAAACAATGAGCCCTTTCACGCAAATATTTCCCTATTTACCCAAGTTCTAAATTTTAAAAGAAAACCAAATTGAGTATAACATGTACTTCAAGATATTTTTAAAGCAAGGTAAAAAGTATTATCTATGCACTGTTATGACTCCCTCAAAGATATATTTAAAGTGTTACATACACTTCAATTTTGCCTCACAATTCTTTTCACTATCCAAAGGTTTTTCCTGTGTTTCAAAACTCCCATAAGCTTTAAATTTTTATCTTCTTTCTTCAGATATCTCTTCTACTATCTAAAGGCACTAGTGTGTAGTGGTTAAAAGTGAAGATGCAAAATTCAAACTGCTGGAGTTCAAATGCCAGTTCTACCACTTTCTATCTGTGTGATATTGGATAGTTAACACTTTTCACTTTAATGTTCTCATCTAAAAAGTGGAGATGAAAAATAATAATACCTGTATCATATAGTTGTTGTGGTAAGCACTGTGAGATAATTTATGTGTTTAGAACAGTGTATGGTACAAAATGTGCTCAAAAAAATTTAAGCTATTAATGTTCTACCCTCTGTTTCCTTACCTGTTCTCATACCCACTTTTAATTCTCTTTTGTTTCTGAACCAAAAGGCTTTGAAACTTCTCTGCAAGCCACCAGTACATTCTCTAAAACCAAATGCTATTTATCTTTTCCTAATCCTTCCATCTTTGGTTTTGGTCTTCATATTTCATTTAAAGCAGGAGACTGAAAGCAGGGGTCAATAAACTAAAGTCC